GTTGTGACATTTTGCTGTGCACAACTTGGCTGCTTTGTTTGCCATCCTAACCATATGCAGTTTATGATTGGTACAATACTTGAGCTAGTTTTACTTTTTTTTTACCTCTTCTATGACTTGTGTTTCTACATAAATATGTTATCAGATAAAAGAATTGGTATGTAAGAACATTTATTATTTGAACAGACTGTTAAATACAGTACCTCTGCAGTTCAAATCTCATTTTAGAGTTGCATTTTTATCCAAACATTCCCATAGCCAATGACGGTTCTGTTCATTGGAGGATACTGCATTTTGTTTCTTGAGAGATAGACTTATGTAAGTAACAAGAAGAGGGTATTCAGCTTCTCTGGACCTATATTTTAAGAGCATATTCATTTATTGAAGAAAACATGGTTTACAGGCTACTAAACTTATCAGGTCAGCAACTGCTCCAATACTTCACCCTGTGCTTGCCTCTTAGATGGTACACATCTACAGTTGCTTTTTCTACTCGCCAGCCCCTTCAAGGAGCAAAAGAAGGAATACGTCATATTCTCATCAAATCATGAGAACTGTATCTATTGATAGGTCTAGAAAATGAACTGTTTCAACTGGTCAGAAATCGCAATTGAAGGATACTTTTTTCCCCTCTTGCATGTACATTCTCTCTGCAAATGGAGTGGACTATATATGGTGCAGAAGGATGCCACTGCCTTCAAATGAGTATCATTACCTAGTGACAATTTCCTATTTTATTTCCCCATACCCTTACACGCTAATTCTATCAAAATAATTATCCAGTGTCCTCTTGAATACCTTGATTTAGCCTACCTCCTGTTAGGATTTCCAGGATTTCTATACCTTAACAACTTACTCTGTGAAAAGGTTTTCTCTCGCATCATTCTTGTTTCTTTTGCACATCACTTCGAATTCATTAACCTATAATTTGAAACTTTAATGACTGCTTTTACAATGTACTTTAGAATGTGGAAATCGTTTTAAAAAGGAGAATAAGTTTGTTTGTTTGAGCTGAAGACATTACATATGATTTCATAGGATTTATGGAACGAAGACCGCCCATAGAACCCAACCACTCGATGGCATTTACACTCCATTCAAACCTCTTCCATGATTGTAACCTATTCCTTCATCCATTAAATGTGTATCTGGCTTTCCCTTGAATATAGGAGCAAGAGTTGGCCATTCGACCTTTGAGCCTACGCCACCATTCATTACCTACGCTACTACCACCCTGCCTTCCATTCTATATCCCTTGATCCCTTTAGCCACAAGAGTTATATCTCCCTCCTTTGTGTTTTCAAAAATGATTTGCCTTCAACCACTTTCTGTGGTTGTGAATTTCACAGGCTCACCACTGTCTGGGTGAAGAAATTTCGCCTCAGCTCAGTCCTAAAAGGGTTACCAGTTATCCTTAAGATATGACCCCGGTTCTGGACTTTCCCATTATCGGGAATGTCCGTCCTGCATCCAATCTGTCTAATGCATTGTGGTGAAGATTTGTAATGCATAGTTAGTGTTTAGAAATATTGATTCTAACATGGCGGGAGAAATAGATTATAATTTTCAGTTCTGTGATGGTCTGACATTTTAAAAGTCACAAGTAACTTTGAAGCACAAGTTCAAGACAGCATGTACAAGAAGTCGTCATGTCATTTTAGCTAAAATGTCAGCAAGTTTTTCACCCCACGTCCCCCCCCACATACACCCCAGCTTCCAAGCTGAAGACAGAAGTGGAGGTGCCAGAGAGAGGCTGTTGAAGACATGTTAAAGTGGCATTAAATGAATGCACACAATTGTATCTGAAAGAAACTGCTACTACTGTGTTGGCTGAGTAAGATTTCTTCAAGTGAAGATATGGGTGACATTTCACTGAGCATTGAGTGTTTGTAAGAGTATTGCTGGGATAAATTTTTTTTTACATCTTTCAATTAGGTTTCCTTTAATATTTGTTTGTTTTATACTCAACGTTTTATACTTTTGTGAATATGTTCAGTAACCACCATGGTAACCAATTTGAAAATTAAAACTTGAGCCCTATGAAGCCTGCTTCCCTCTGGGGTCTACCTTGTCCAATGTTACCAAACCGTCTGGGATATTAACAAAACGGGATTTTTGTAGGAACAGGAATTCTTGAATTTGAGGCAAGCATTCTATATCCACTTAATAAAAGCTTGTAATATTTTAAAAAAACTATTTGATTGTCTGGTTGCCTCATTTCAAGAGTAGTGAGACTGCACTCTTTTTTTTTTTTTTTTTTTTTTTTTTAATCCTTCCCTGTATTTATATCCATTCTATAATAATCTGACATTTTCCAGTGCCTCCAAATCCTTTTCTTCATTATTGCAAATAGATTCTGTGCAGTACTGTCAAATGTGGTATGTACAGGGGCATGAAGCTGTCAGAAAGAAATTCAATTTAGGCAGAGCAATTTAAGAGTTCTCCATTTTTTTTTGTTATTCATCCACTTGTCAGTTGTCACTAGTTACCACAAGCTAGATTTCCCACATTGACTTAGTCCTGAGGTTTACCCAATGAAATGGGATATTTTCCAAGGTCAGTTTATTAGTATAGTGAAAAAGAGAAATGTATGAAAAATTTTATGGTCATGACTGATGTCATCATGCCCTCAACTCCACTTTGCCTGTCTCCTCCCCATAACCCTGCAACCCGTTACTAATTAAAAATATGTCTACGTCCTTCTTAAATTTACTCAATGTCCCAGCATCCACCACACTCTGGGTTAGTGAATACCAAGTTTCATGATACTTTCAGGGAGATCATTTCTCCTCCGTCCCTATTTTAACTATGCTACCCCTTATCCTAAAACTATGACCTCTTGTTCTAGATTGCCCACATGAAGCATCTCTGCATCTACTTTGTCAATACCCTTTAGCAACTTGTATACTTCAATTAGATTTCCTTCCATTCTTGCAGACTCCAGAGAGTGTGGGCCTAAATTGCTCAATCTCTCTTAAGAGAAACCCCTCAACTCTGGAATCAATCTAGTAAACCTCCTCTGAAGTGCTTCCAATGCAACTATATTCCCCTCTAAAGGAGACCAAAACTCTATATGGTACTTCAGATGTGGTCCTACAAATGCCTCACTAATACAGTTGCAGCAACATTTCCCTACACTTGTGTTCTATTTCTTTAGCAATAAAGGCCAAAATTCTGTTTGCCTTCCTAATTGCCCATTGTACCTGCGTACAGGCTTCCTGCAATTCATTCATGAGGACTCCCATCTCTTCCTGCAATGAAGTACTCTGAAGTTTCTCTCCATTTAGATAAGAGTTGCTTTTCTGTTCCTACGACTAAAAGAGAACCTCAATTTTCTCCATGTTAAACTTCATCTGTGAAATTTTGCTCCGCTCACCTAACCTATCTATTTCCATTTCTAAATTTCTTATTTCTTCATTGCAGCTTACTTTTCCACTATCTTAGTGTCATCTGCAAATTTGGTTAAAGTACTTTCTATCCCTGTATCCAAGTTAATAACATAGGTTGTAAATAGTTGGAACCCAAAGACTGAACCCTGTGGTACCTCACTAGTTATCTTACCAATCAGAAAAAGGCTTTTTGTTGGTTAGCTAATCCTCTATCCCAGCTAACAAATTAGCTCTCAGCCCATGTGATCTTACCTTGACTATTAACCTTTTTTGCGGCATCTTGTCAAATGCTTCTGGAAGTCCAGATATACTATGTCTACTGGATTCCCATTATCCATATTGCTTGTCGCATTTTTAAAGAATTCTATCAAATTATTCAAACGTTATTACTCCTTGATAAAACCATGCTGTTTCTAATGGATTGTGTTTTGATTTTTTTCAAATGTCCTGTTATTAGTTCCTTAATAATAGATTTTGACGTTATGACACACATCTTGGGCAGGTGGGACTTTAACCCAGAACTTCTGCCCAAGAGGTAGAGGCACTACGATTGCACCATAAGAGCACTACAATGACTTGTACAACAATTGGCAGTAAATGAAAGATTGGCTGGAATGTGAACTCTATCTCTTGCATAATATTTTATGATACACCACAAATTGAGATTTACACCCTTATACTGATAACCAACAACTTGTGTCCTATGTTCTTATATTGGGATTCATCATAAAACAGACACAGTTTCAGTGGAATAGAATTGCCTTTTTATTACTAGCAGACTGAAAATCTGGAATTCCTCTATCAATAGTTATGAAAATTGCCCTTGATGAAATAAATTTTTTAATTCACCTAAGTTTAAATATTTGCTTGAGATGTAAATTCATCGCTTATTGTAACAAGCGTTCAAACAAGCATTCAGACCGTTGACTGGGTTGTATGGATCTGTCCAACTTTGATTCATACTTGCCACAGTCCTTTCTTGTTATGTATTTCTGGGTGGAGTGTTTGCTTTTTCTACTATGTCTCAGACTTAATTTTTAAATTAATCTGACCAATTCCAGTCTTCACATACCTCTTTTTTTTTTTATATATAATTGTGTGTAATGTGTAAAAGAAAATCTCCCTGTTCAATGAATAAAGCATGCCATGTCACATTTTTGGCACTCTAAAGTGCTTCACAGCCACTTAATTTATTGCACATCAGAAATAATTGTAGACAACACACACCAGCCAATCCGTGTACTGCAATTTGTTAATAATTGCAACTTAAATGTGACTGGAAAAATGGACAGTACATTAGTGCAATAATTATTTATTGAACTGTTTAACAATTAACTTCCTTTAAGGATGACAGAAGTAATGCAATTGAGACTAGTATTCTCAATTTTGAGCTCCCTTTCGGATTCATGCTTTGGCATATTTGAGTAGTTGTATTTTTTAAATCTCCTTTCAATAAAATATTTAGAGCTTTTACTGTGTGTGATATTTGGAAGATTAAGAGAACAGATAACTGATGATGAAAAAATGGTTAATTTTCATTTGTTTTTTGACAATGACCACTTACAAAACTGCCATCCTATGATTAATGTGGTCCCTTATAATCCTTTCTAGGAAGCTCAAAGAATGCTTGAAGTTGCAGAAAGTGGAACAGTACAACTTCCCTTAGAGGGTGGAAACATTCTGAAGATTCCAGTGAAAAGTATTAAGTACAGGTACAGTATACTACACATGGAATGGATGGAAATGAAAGAAGTTACTTCTAAATTAATGCTATTTCTGAGAAGAGAAAGAAACGTGTTCATTGTACTTACGTGGCTAGGTTTGAAAGGTTCCTGCTAACCGCTTTGTAAATCTTTTCTACACCCCCTCTAATTTAATAATATCCTTCCTGTAGCAGGGTGACTAGAACTTGACATAGTACTCTAAAAGTGGCTCACTATAAGGTTCTGTACAACCACAACATGAATTCCCAATTCCTATACTCAACAGTCTGAGCAATAAAGGCAAACGTGCCAAATGTTGCCTTTTACTACTCTGTCTACCTGTGATGCAGCTTTCAATGAACTATGTGCCTGGACCCCTCGGACTCTGTTTGACAATATTACCCAGAGCCCTACCATTAACTGTGTAAGTCCTGACATTGTTCGTCTTACCAAAATGCAACACCTCACATTTATCTAAATTGTACTCCATCTGCCACTTCTCGGCCCGTTGTCCCAGTTGATCAAGACCCCTTTTAATTTTGGATAACCTTCCACACTATCTACAATACCATTTAATTTTTGTGTCATCCACAAACTTGGTAACCACGCTTCCTATATTCTCATCCAAATTCTTTATATAAATGGTAAACGACAGTGGACCCAGCACCGATTCCTGTGGAGCACCACTGGACCACAGGCCTCCAGTCCAATAAACAACCCTCAACCACCACCCTCTGTCTCCTACCATCAAGCCAATTTTGTATCCCATTGGCAAGCTCTCCCTAAATCCCATGTGATCTAACTTTACTAATTAGTCTACCATGTGGAACGTTGTCAAAGGCTTTACTAAAGTCCAAGTAAACATGTCTGCTGCTCTTCCTCCTCTATCGTCTTGGTCATATCCCCAAAAATCTCAATCGAGAGAGAGACTCAGTTTTCCACGCAGAAAGCTGTTAGCCATCCCTAATCAGCCCTTGCCCCTCCAAATGCATGTAAATCCTGTCTCTCAGAATCCCCTCCAACAACTTGCCCACCAATGAAGTCAAACACACTAGTTTATAGTTTCCAGGCTGCTCCTTGCAGTCTTTCTTAAAGACACAACATTAGCCACCCTGCAGTCTTCTGGCACCTCACTGGCTGTAGAGGATAAAAATATCACTGTTAGCAGTACTGCAAATTCTTCCCACAATGTCCTAGGATACAGTTGATCAGGTCCCAGAGATTTATCTACCTTTATGCTTTTTAAGACCTCCAGCACCTTTTTCCTTCTGTAATGTGGGCTGTTTTCAAGACTTCACTATTTCTTTCCCCACGTTCCCTAGCTTCCAAGTCTTTCTCCACAGTAAAAACTGAAGGGAAATATTTATTTTAGTACCTGCTGTGGTTCCACACATAGATGACCTTGTTGATCTTTTAAAGGGCCCTATTCTTTCCTTAGTGGCTCTTTTGCCCTTAATAGACTTGTAGAATCTCTTTTTGGATTATCCTTAACCTTATCTGGTAAGATATGCCATCTCATATCCTTGTTTTGCCCTCCTGATTTCCCTCTTAAGAGTGCCCCTACTCCCATCGTACTCTTCAAGAGGTTCCCTTGAACCCATCTGACATATGCCTCCTTCGTTTTCTTGACCAGAGCCTCAATATCTCTACTTATCCATTGTTCCCTATTCCTACCAGCCTTACCCTTCACTCTAATAGGAACATAATGCCTCTAAACTCCTGTTATCTCACTTTTGAATTTCTCCCACTTGCCAGTCATCTCTTGACTTGCGAACAGTCTACCCCAATCAACTTTCGAAAGTTCCTGTCTCATACTGTCAAACTTGGCTTTATTCGAATTTAGAACTTTTAACTTTTTTTATACAAGACCTGTCCTTTTCCATAACTCTTTTAAAACTATTAGAATTGTGTTCACCGGTCCCAAAGTGTTCTCCTGCTAACACTTGAGTCACTTGCCTTGATTTATTTCCCAAGAGAATGTCAAATTTTGCTCCTTGCATGTAAATATGTTCAAGAAAATTTTCTTTGTTAATATTTAACTCATTCCTCCCCATCCAAGCCCTTAACGCTATGGCAGTCCCAGTCTGTGATTGGAAAGTTAAAATCCCTTTACTATTACAAGCCTATTATTCTTATGCATATCTGAAATCTCTACATATTTGCTCCTTAGTTTCTCGCTGACTATTTTAGTAAAATCCCTTTAAAGTGATCATCCCCCGTTTTATTTCCGAGTTCACATTAGCTTCACTGGACAATCCCCCAGGAATATCCTAAGGACAGTAGCAATATTTTCCTTAATCCAAAACCCCACTTACCCCAACTCTCGCCTCCCTTTCTATCCTTTATCACATCTATACCCTGAAACATTGAGCTGCCAGTCCTGTCTCTCCCTTGGCCATGTTTCTGATATACCAGTCCCATGTTCCCATACATGCCCTGAGTTCATCCGCCTTACCTATCTAGAAAACTTGCATTGAAATAAATGGAGTTTGTTTGTTTAGGGGTTCTCTGACATGCTCTTGCCTGCCTTGTCTAATTAATTTATTCTCTTTTTAACTTCTGAACCACCCTCTGCTTTCTCTCTATCTTCACTACTGTTTAGGATCCCTCCCACTCCCTCCTCCATACTTGTTTAAAGGCTCCCAAATAGCACTAGCAAGTCTCCCTCCACTTCAGATAAAAATGTTCCTTTTGAGCAGGTCTTTTCTGCCCAAGAAGAGATCCCAATGATGCAAAGATCTAAATTCTTGCCTCCTGCACCATCTCCTCAGCCACTCATTTATCTGCCGTATTTTCTTGTTCCTATTCTCACTAGCAGATGACACTGGAAATAATCCAGAAATTACTACCTTTTTGAGGTCCTGCTTTTTAAATCTCCCACCTAACTTTCTATATTCTCTCTGCAAAACCTCATCCCCTTCTCTGTCTATGTTGTTCGTACCAATTTGACAATTTGCTGCAACCTTTCTGGGACATCCTTGACCGCAGTACCATGAAGGCAACATACCAACCTGAATTCTTGTTTGCGGTCGCAGAACCGCCCCTGACTGGAGAGTCCCCTATAACGATTTATCAGTTTATCAGTTTGAAACTTGACAAACTCTGGCTTCAGGCGTGATGACTAAGACCTGGCTACCACAGCTATTTTCCTCTGAGGGGCTATCCCTCCAACAGTATCCAAAATGGAATATTTGTTTGAGGGAGGAATAGCCACAGGACACTCCTGCACTACCTTTCTACCTCTCCTGACAGTCACCCATCTACCTGACTGTGCTTGTGGTGTGAACGCCTCTAATTGCTACTAACCATAACACTCTGTGCCTCCTATTTGCTCTTCAGTGACTCCAGCTGCCCCCCCCACCCAATCCAAAAGGTCTAATATGAGACACATCCAAACACACTTCCTGCAAGTATACTCACCAGGGACTGTCAACTGTTCCCTAATCTCCCACATCATCTGATAAGAGGAGCATACCACTCCACTGACGACCATCTTCATTCTTTTAAAAAATCACCAAACGTAAACTTGTCTAAAAATCACACTTTGCTCAAATCCAGCATTTGCAGACTGTTACTGCTGGCGCTCTATGCTGGGAAAAGTTAGTTCCTAGGTCTTGTAACATAAAATACAGGAATCAAGTTCACCCAGCTCTAACAGATTCAGCATGATTTCAGTTGTGGGTTCCTGTGATAGGTGATTCTGTTGGTGTATGTTTTCAGTCCTGCTTGTTTCTTTTTGCCTATGGTACAATTTATGACTCAGTGTACTGCTTTTATAGAAAAACCAAGATAAATCTGCTGAATGGCTGCTCCTTGAATCGAGTTTTCAGCATAACATTAAACCAGTAATAATGTGGTGGTGCAAATAAACTTTTGATTTATCACATATACATAGTTGCATTAGCGATATCAAACTACCAATCTTGATCTTCCTTGGGATGCTCTGAATACCACCTGCATTCAAGAGCTATTATTTTTGCCTTCTTAGGTTTTAACCCCCTTGTCCTGTTTTTGCTGCTGTTTCTTTTACACTTGTACACTGTGTCTTCCTGTCCCACTGTGGATATAATTGCAACAATAGTTGACCTGCATCCTCTGTCTCGTGCTGTCTCTCTTCCTTGCCTCGCACACACCCTCACATTCTCTCTTCCTCTTCCACCATCCCAAATTGAATTTAATATCTTCTGTACAGCCCTAGTTCACCAGGACCTTGTCACAGCACAGTACAAGTGAGGTTCATCTGACCAGAACAGCTCCCTTCAACCTCCGTGCTAGTGACTGTCTCCCAATAACCAAAACTCATTCCTCCCACACCAATCTTTCTGCTATGTGTTTAACTCCTTTTACTTATGTCAGTTTGCCCATGGCTCAGGAACTGATCCTGAAATTATGAATTTGATGGTTCTGTATTTTAATTTACCTCTGAACTATTCAGAATCTTTCAGCAGGACCTCCTTTCCAACCTTATCAGTGTCATTTGTACCAACATGGATGACAACAATTCATTTCTTCCCCATCCGCTCTAAGTTCCTCTTTAGCCCGAAAAGATGTCCTTGTCCTAGCACTGGTAAGCAATATAGCCTTCAAGATGCATGTTTATAGCTGCAGACAACAGGATCTATTGTCCTAATTATACTGTTCCCTGTCATTATTAAGTTCCTATTGGTAAAGGTGTTCACCCTCCCCACAGTCCCCATTGTCATCCACACAGGTTGCAAGAACCTCTTTATTTTTGGACAATTGCAGGGACTGAAACTCTTCAACAGCTACCCTTTGAATCCCCATACCTGTCTCACCTACAATCACATCTGCTTGTCCTCGAGCAGTGATCTGCTATCTGGAGCAAAGTATCCAGGTATCTTTCCCCTCCCCTGATGTGGCGCATTGTCTTCAGCTCAGCCTCCAGATCCTTTACTCTGATCTGAAGTTGCTTACATTGCAGATGTTTTCACTGTGGATCACCTTAGAGTTTAGCAACTCGCACATACTACAGCAGCAATACATCACCTGACCTGCCTTGACTATTCTATTTAATTAAATTCATTCATATCCCGGCTTTACACTTTTTATTTAATGATTTCTCTCCTTTAACACACTAGTATCAATCTTCATACCCTAGAAGCAATTTTTAAAAAAACAAAAAGAAAATTAGAGGTCTGACCACAAACTGAAAACCATACACTCACTTTAAAGACCAAAAATATTTTCAGCTGCTTATGTTCAGGCACAAATCAACCCAACACCCCCCTCCTTCCACTGAACTTCTTGAGATGCTTAGCGTTTGCGCTGTGTAGTAAGTTGCACTCAAGTATTCAGTCGTACTGAGTTGGCTGTGTATATGTTCCCGACACACAAACCTAGCTCACTCAGTGAATGGGGTCTGAGTTTTAGCTGCTGCTTAATTAGGCAGCTCTTTCAATGTACTCCTTTGAAAATAACTGCTCAAAGCTTGCAACTACAGAATTCAAAACTGCTGATTTTTCTTTAAGCAAACTACAAGTTGCTGTCTAAATTACGTTTGTACAAATTGAAGATTTGCACACTTTCTCACCCAACAGATACACGTGCTCAATTCAAGGCTGATCTGGATTTGTTTGTAGAATTTTTGTGTTCCAAGCAAAGGCCGCAGCCCGCTCATATAATGAGGATACAGTTTCAGCTGGTTCTCAATCGAACTGTTTAGGCTGCTCTTTGTTTAGCAGTGTTTTAAAAAGTGGTAGCAGCAGCAGAAGTTTTTTTTGGTACAATAAGACTTCAGACTTAATGTTACTAAATAATGAATGACACCTAAATTAATTTCCTCCTTTTCTATCTAATGTACTGTGGGCATGTATGTAAAACAGGCTTGGCCAACAGGTGGTCTGCCAGTTGGTCCTATGTGCCCTGCTACCGGGGTTCCAAATACAGGAAAAACAAATGGAAGATTCTGCAACATGCTCCTCCTATCGGAGGCTGTTTTTCTCCTTTGCTCGTTGCTGTATTCACTAGTTAGCCTGTCAACAAGTGCTGAAAAGAAATGGCCTCTGATTGGTAGGAACAGGAGCAGGTCATTCAACCCTGTGCACTTGCTAAACCATTCAGTACGATCATAGCTGATCAAATACTTCACCGCCTTTACTCATTCCATCCCTACAGTCCTGTATGTCACTGATAATCAGAAATCTGTCAATACTCATAGACTGAACACCCCCTTCCACCACAGCCTTCTGTGGTAGAGAAATCCAAAGGTTCACAACTCTGAGTAAAATAGTTTCTCCCCACCTCGGACCTAAATAACATCTCCCTTTTATTTTTAAATTGTGCTCCTTGGTTTTAGACCCCTCACCCGGGGAAACATCTTAGCCGCATCTGTATTTTGTAGGTTTCAATAAGATTGCCTCTCATTCTTCAAAACTCTAAAAGAATTCAGACCCAGTTTGTCTAATCAGTCTTCCCATCCTGGCAACAAGTTTGGTGAACTTTCGTTGTATTCCCTCTACTGGAAGAATATCTTACCTGAGACAAGGAGACCAAAACTACATAAAGTACTCGAGGTACGGTCTAACCAAACTCTTGTACAATTGACGTAAGACTTAAAAACAACTGTACTCGGATCCTCTTGCAGTAAAGTCTAAAATTCCATTAGCCTTCCTAGTAGCTTGTTGTATTTGCAGTGACTTGTTGACAAGAATACCTAGGTTCCCTGAACATCTACGTTTTATAACCCCTTTCCTCTTAAGATATATCTGTGTATCTGTTTCTCTTGCCAAAGTAGATAACCACATTTTCTACATTATCTTCCACCTAGCATGTTCTTGCCCATCTAGTTCACCTATCCAAGTCCTCCTGAAGCTGCTTTACATAATCTTCTGAACAAACATTCCCATTTAGCTTCGTATCACCTGAAAATATTACATTTGGTGCACATGTTCAGATTATTAAATGTGAGCAGCTGCATCCTAAGGTTTCATCCTTGTGTTATTTCACCAGTCATAGCTTGCCCACTGTTTGCTGTCTGTTAGCCAGTCATTATTTCATGCTAGCACATTACTTCTATCCTATTACCTGCTATGCTTTTATTTCTAACCACCGTTGTGTGAGGGACTTTATCAAAAACCTTCTGCAAATCTAAGTAGATGACATCCATTGGCTCTCCTTTATCAGTTCTGCTCATAATTGAACTTCTTAACTGGAAGGGGAAAAATAAGTTGTTTTTTTATTAGTTAGCTCTGCTGATTGGTACTTTTCAGTTATTTATGTTTGTTAGTCATTTATTTAAATTATGAATTTATTCCTTTTGGAATTTTGTTTCTGAAATGCACACTGTTGTGCCAAATCTTATCTGTCTGAAATTTGCTCAGTAGCCCTCATGCAGAAAAGGTTGGACAACCGTAGTCGAAAACCTTTTGGTGTTTTATTATTGAAACAATTCTGATTTCTTGATTTTTTTTTTCTGCATGTGACCGTTACAAGCCATCAATAAACTGTAAGAATTGTGTGTAAGTTGGGAAGAGCTGCATAGTAAGGTGAAGGGAAAAATTAGGCTTAATGAATCGGGTCAGTGGTTCTGCTTGTACAGAGCACTAACATTTAGATATGTTTATCCTCTAGCCCAGACGATCCTTCTGTCGTAAACATATCTGATGAAATGGCCAAAACTGCTGTGTGGAAGGCTCTTGCTGTAAATGCTGAGAATGCAAAAGTTGTAAAACTTGAAGCAAGGTAGCTTTTTTTAATGTGCTTAATTTGTGGCCTGATGTCTAACAAAGCATTCTGATACTAATAGATGCACAACAGTGGCTGCTGTTTAGAAAACTGGGCATTTGTAGCAAACATTAACATTTATTGCATTAATCAATATTAAAGTTCTGCCCTGTTTGATGCACTCCACTTCATGACATTCAGTTATAACTCCAACCCTATGATAAGACCACCAGATCTTAGCTTACAGATTGACACCTCCAAAAACAGCATTTACGGTGATGTTAATTTTAGAGAACACCTTTTAATAATACTGCTTTGTAAACATTTAAACACTATATTTAATATTATCAAGTGATCAGGAATTGTTCTCTGCACGTCAGAAGAAAAAAAATTGTTTATGGATAACTTAATTGTCCAGCATAAAGTTTCAAAAGTTGTACTTTTTGATAACATTCCTGAAATGGTGTGCAGTGACTTAAATCTTTCTTATATAATTGGTGTGCTGCAGCACAAAATATTTTTTGGTCACCAACACGTGATACTGCCTGAGGATAGGACTAGTTAAGCATAAATAAATCAAATTGTTTGAAATTTAAATGTCTTTGCTATATTGCTGCTGACTTTCTACCGAGATCTTGAGTTCAAAATTCTTCAGTAAAAAATTACTTTTCCAAATTTTATTCAGAATGCCTTCCACACCTACTTAGAGCTTGATCATACATTAAAGATATATGTCTTCAATACTTAAAAGTACTTTGCTGGTAGTTTCTAATCTCAGACAGTGAATTCACATTATAAGAAGAGCACATACAAAAAGTCCATGATATCTAGACATAGGACATAGCAAGAGTAAAAACTGTATGCATGAAACAGGCTACCAATTCATTACTGTCTATCTTAAGCTAGTGCAGTCAGAAAGAAGAACACCTTATGTTCTCCCCCAGCCCCGCCAAAAATAAAAAGGCTTGATTCACATTTTAAGGTATGTTTTTAAGGCATTGTGTAAAAGTATTGGTAGTGGAGAAACAGATGTGAGGAATCTGTTAAACAATATGCTTTGTACTATGCTTGTACTGTATGCTTTGTCTTTTGAAAACAAATTCTACTAATTTCTTACCTGCATGATGTACAATTATTTTCAACATAGCTATTTTTTTTACTATGTCCTACAGACAGAAAGTTGTATGCCCATAGTTGTGAAAGATAAAGATGCCTAACTCATTAAAACTCACTTCAAAAAACAATTAGCTTTGCTGATAAAAATATTATGTGAAGTGAGGGTGTATTTAATTGGTGAAACTTTAGATAAAGAAATAGAACCAGAAGTCTCAGAAGCCAATACAACTTGTACATTAAAGCAATATTTTCATTTAGAGGTTGAATTGATTATTGTCTGTTTTTCATTTCTCTTTATTAGCCATGGGTGTGTGGATGTACAAACAAGTATTAAAATTATAAAACCTGAAATGCAGCTATTCATTTTACTTTTCCTTGTTACAAATTTACAGTCCCGAATGTACTACAGATATCAAAGTAAATATTGAAGAGGTGCCTCCAAGAAATGTCCTTGATGCTGAAACATCTGTATGAAACAAGCTACATCCTGATTAATCTGGAAAAACTTCTTTTTATTAAATCTACTACGTGAGCCACAGCCAAACCTCTGGATCCTTTGCAGGAAGTGTGTTGGACCTAATCAGTGTCTCAGTCAGAGTGAAATTCTTCTGACCAAGGTTGTTTTACCCTTGTACTATTCTGTCAACTGCATTGCTAGCTACTGTTTAAATCTTTACTTACAGGTTCAATTAAAATTTTTGGCGTAAGGTTATGAAAAGTGAACAAGCAATAATCTATTAGAGAAGTTTTTTTTTAAAATTAAAAATCTGCTTACCAACATTTGATTTACTTCGTGATGATGGCAGATGATGTACTATTTAAAGAATTGAAAATAGTACATGATGAATGCAAGTATACAGTCGATACAAAAAGGTGTAAATATATTGCTTATTGACATTCACGCTCCAATGTTATAAGTAATAGGTAAGATCTTCAACCAAATGCTCAAATCTGTCTTTATTTGTCATTGATCCTTCAGAATTTTGTTGCTACTGGATAACAATGAGCCAGCAGGCGATAACCAGTGTTGTGATAACATGTGATAGAAGAACAGATGTGTAAATTGGTATAATGTATCTGAAGGGTGTGCATCTATTTACTATACTGGTTGGTTGCTATCCTTTTTATTTACAAATTGGTGCACTGGTTTTGCAATACTGATTTGAGACTCTCTGCATCTGAACTGTTTACATGTAACTTTATTCAACATGGCATACTGTAGGCTTTATTTAGCATTGCAGTGTTATATGTTTTATTTATTTATACTTAGACTCAAATTTATCGAGAAATTTTCACACTATATGGAATACAAAGAAGATTTGGCTAATTTTATAAAGATTGTTCTAGTATTTTTGTTTTGTACTTTAGAAATGTAGAGTAACCATTTTCTATGGGCAGTACTGTAGTTATAGTATTAGATCAATAATTCTAGAGCCATCTCAGGAAATCAGAATCTTCCCACTGGTCCATATTGCCATGCCTTTGACACAGTTTGTGACATTGTTTTGTCTTCCGGATCAGATGAAACTTCTAAAAATATTTCTTTAGACCAGCTGTTTTTTTTCCCCCAAGTGAGGCAAGTTCATTTATCTTCAGTCAAAAACAACATGCCGGTGCAACACACAGAATTGTATTCTTCATTTGCATTCAATCATTGCAAAATAATAGCCAAACAGCCAAAATGCAGAAATGGTTATGTTGTGAAACATTTTGGTTTGTATCCCAATACTGATTATATAGTTAAACATATGGCAAATTCTGCGGATATTTTCAGCAGTCAACCAATTTTCTGCTATTTTATTAAATGTACAGATTGTAATCACTGTAACTGAATAATTGAGTTTGCATAATATAAGGGATGTGAATTATAGAAACTTATTTTAATCGCGTGTCAGTTGGTGAACTGAAGTTTTCTATTTAATTTTTTAGGTTACTCTAAAGAATAGTATTGTGTTGATACTGTTGATCGTTAGATGCTAAATACAGTATAAGATTTTAACAGTTTGAAAAACTGGTTTCTGACAGGGACAGTTTTGTCCCTTCTGTTTTTTTTTAAATCTGCGGTTGATGGTAATTTTATGTCTTCCTGTGTTCTGCTTATTTAATCACAGAACAAATACAATCCCTAGTATTCATCAATTTTCATAAAATTGTCTAAGTTCAGAAAATTATGGTTAAAGTTTTTATGACTATTTCTAAGTACAGTAGTGATTTCATTTATTTTTGTAAGGACACACAAAGCAATGTAAAAATGTTACAGTAGTCCATGTCTTAGTTTAAATGATATGTGTATAACCCAGATTTTGTTTTCTTTAAGGACAATGTCCTGCCTTTAGTTGAATATTAGAGGAGAACAACTATTTTTTGTAATGTCATATGTTAATAAAAGCAATAAAGTCTTTTATTGTATCAAACATGGTATTGATCTATGTTTTTCATAGGAGTCTGTTTGGAAACGGAATAAATCAAAGATCTAACAAAAGTGTGAAGAGATGTACAGTATCGTAATGTTTTACTGACACCATTGCATTTGAGTTTGAACTTTTAATATTTTTGATCATACCCATTTTAAAATTTCAAGTCAGTGTCTGTATTTTAACTACCAGTGGGTTTGGGGATGATCCCATCAGCAATTTTTGGTACCATGGGTCCAGGCTAATTTTAATTTCCCATAAATTTTGTATTTCTACATTCCATCAAGAACAGGTGACAAGTGTCAGAAAATATCAGCATTGGATGTTCGAAGCATCCCTTTGGAAGGGGATGGCTGGGGAAGTGAAGGCTTAACCTTTCTTCATGGGACACAGGATTGCTCTTGTTACCACTGGATTTGTAAAGAAAAAAAAAACACATTCTGCTGCTTTATCCTCTTCTGAGGAGAATCTACTTTCCAAGTTGACCTTCTGGGAAAGCTAGATCAATTTCTCTTGGGTCTGAGTTAAAATTGCAGTCTAGTCTTGGTGATACATTGGAATAAAATGTGCATGTGTAAAGAAGCGTTCGCTGGCTTTGGCAGGCTGGTCATGAAAGCAGAATTCAGGAAGTGTCAGGTGGTGAAATAACTGGGGCCAGTTTAAATAACTTGATCAGTCTGCACCAGATAGTAAGAGCTCTTGTAGAACAGCAGCAGTGTTCCTATCTCTGAGCCAGGCAGCCTATATCCAAATCCTACTTGCTCCAGAGGTGTGTAATAACCATATCTGAGCAGTTGATTGGAAAATATCCCCAGATGGGTCGGGTTAAAATCATCTTTTCTATGTCAGTAATGTTATTTTCAAATCCTCAGATTAACTTAATTTTGGCTTACAATAGGACTGTGCAGAAAGAATACATTTGAGTGACAACAAAAAAATCACTACCTTCTGCAGCTTAGTTGCTACAGATGTGAACTTCACACATTTAATATCTTAATTTTCTTGTTAGGAAGCATTTGCTATTTTGTTTCTCTTCCTACTGTGCACTGAGTGATAGAGCACAATAGAGATCGTAAAATGTGAACAAACTAGTGCCTTTCAGAAAAGATGGTGTAGTACTAGTCATAAGATATATTTCTGCGGAGTCAACCGGGTGCTGTACTTCAGCCAAAATGGTGGCAGAGCCCCAATTCCAGAAGCCCTGTTCCTGAATCTAGCACCCACCATTTTCACTGGGGGTGGAGAAATGACATTTCACACATCCACAGTTCATAGTGGCAGCAGTGCATTTTAAAGTGCAGCTTCAATCAACTTTTGTTACCAGAATTTCCATATCATGATTCATAGGCTTTAGCCCAGAGCCTTCTAAATTGGAAGTTGTGATCCTGTGGGGTTACAAGCTCCAAGGCAGCATTGGCCGATTCTGCTCTTTCAGGTCTTCTCTTCCTAAACCCCAACTCCATCCCATCCAGTCAGCAAGGTGTCAAAATGTTTAAGCTTCAAAATGGGATCACAGTGGGCCAAGGTTTGGGAAGCACTGCTTTCGATGTGTGAGAAGAAGAGCTAAACCTAACAGAGTTCTTTGGAATGGTCCAGGTATCTTTGCCCCTTTGCAATGACATTAATGGCTGAAGTAACCAATACTGGGACCTGAGTATTCAGGGGTATGATTAATGTATTGATTTAGTAAGAGGATCAAGGGTTACAGGAAGAAGGTAGGAGAATGGGGTTCAGACACATCAGCCATGATCGAATGGTGGAGTAAACTTGATGGGCTGAATATCCTAATTCTGCTCTTGTATCAATGGGCTGATGAGTATTTGAACTTTTGGAAGAATGGGAAGTTGGAAAGAGTGACGGGGTGGTTGTCTTCATTTAAGGAAGACATTTGAACAATAGTGAGAGATGATTTTAGTTCTAAAGATCAAAATGTAGAATCAGTTTGAGGTGAAGTTAAGAAACAATCGAGAAAAAATTTTATTGTGGGAATAGTTGATAGACCATCTAATGGTGACAACATTGCAGTTATTTTTTTAATCTTCATAGAGATTTGATTCATCCAATCAACAAATGTAGCATGGGAAATGAATTTGTACTGCTTTTGGGTTAATTTCTTAGTGTAGCATGTTCAAGAGCAAACAGAGGGCAGACTAGCCTAGACCTGGTAGTGTGCAATGAGGTAGGATTGTTAATATCCCCATAGTAAAGGTGGTGATAACAGCATTGAATTTCTGATTCATTTTATGGAAATGAGCCTAAGTCTAGTGTCTTAAGCTTAAATACAGACAAAATGACTTTTTTTAAAAAAAAACTAATAAAATGAGAGAAATTAGGAATATGAGAATGCTAACTGCAACCATGAAAACCAAACTTCTACAAAAATTTGAAAAGAAAAATAGTAATTGGAAAAAAGTGTGGGTCCCCAAGAGCGTGTTGATATCAAGAAATGAACTGGTGAAAGCATTGAACAGCTGTTGCCTATAATCTCTGTAGATTGTGCAAACAAATCCTAGAAACACTTGTGAACCAGGAGGTGAAAGAAAGTGACGAGCTGAAACAATTGGAATCACTAGAGAAAGAGTACAGAGAAAGCGTACAAAGAAAGCTATTAGAATGAAAGGCTGATAAGCTACCAGGATAAATGTGAAGGCAATTTTGTTTTATTTTTCTGTATTTTTGGTTGTGAACTGAAATGGGATAAGAACTAGTTTAAAAGCAAGGGTTGTTGAAGTATTGCTGCACCTTTTCAAAAGCAAATTACCTGACACTCTAAGTGCTGTCTACAGAGTTACTGGTTCAAGTAGCAGGGAAAGCCTAATTCCAAATGAGCTAGAGCCAGGAAACTGTATGAATGGGGATTTGGCTTGCAACAAGTAATTGACTGGTCTGTGGTATGATGACCCATTATCACTGACTAACACATTCTGTCTGCCAACATCTCATTCCTAGGTAGTTGCACAGCACATTGAGGATGTGACTTTTTGAATTGGAAGCTATCTGAGCTCTGGAAGGGAAGCAGTTGTTTTGCTCTGCAGTGAGAAAGATCTCAAGACTGAAGAAAGCCTCATCAGTAGCCGTAAGCTGTGACTTTCAATCAAATAGTCACCCTGTGCCTCCTACAAACGAGTGAAAGAACTTGGAGAAGGAAGATCATGAAGCAGCATTCTGATCAGCAAAAGGATCATCTTAGCAAATGCTGTTGACGGGGACCATCAAACTACTTTCCTAGTCTGTATCAGCATGGGAATCACAGGTTACAGGGAACAGAAAGTTGATACGAGGAATGACAGATCAGCCATGATCCTATTGAATGCAGATCAAGCTTGAGGGGCCAAATGACCTAATCCTATTCCTATTTCTTAAGGTCTTTCCGTCTTTCTGTATTCCCGTAACACCCATTTTTCTTTTTCTTGTCTGTGTGCGCAAAGAGGGAGACTTATAATTTTTTAAGTAATTTTAGAGTTTTAACTAGTAGAGCTATGTCAACAATTCCTAATTGATGGAACTACTGACAATACATAATGGTTCAAGAAGGCAGTGCAACATCATCTCCAAGGTAACTAGGGACAGGCAATAAACATTAGTCAGCCAGTGATGCTCACATCCCACAAGTGAATAAAACAAATTATCTGTAGGTTAGAATATAACTTTGAAATAATTGGTAATCCTTGTTAAGGACAGAAACCTGGTCCGTGCTTTCTGTCAACTTGGGCCTAAAATAGGTAAATAGGGGAATTCTGTGTATTTTTAAAAATCTTTGACTTGTGTGATGACTTCATGAAAAGCAGAACTTGATTTCCAGGGTGCTAGTCCAGTGAGGCATAACACCGGTCATCCTAGGATCTTAAAAGACGTGGCTGTAGAGATTTATGTGCATTGATTTTTAATTTTCCAAAATTCTTTGGGTTCTGGAAAGGTCTCATTCAGATTGGAAAATAGCAAATAACTCCATCTGCTTTCTGTCTCCTTCCTTTTTAACATAATGACAGACAGGTTAACCTATCAGCTATTATAGGAAAAATGCAGGAATTTATTTTTAATACATTTAGCAAATCTTAATGAAATTAACCAAACTAAACATAGCTCAATGACAGAGAAATCATGTCTCACTAATTTTGAATCCGTGTTTACTGTGGAGAAGGATATGGAAGATGTAGAACGTGGGGAAATAAATAGTGATATCTTGAAAAACGTCCATATTAGTGATGGTGGTGCTAGAGGTCTTAATGTATAAAAATGGATAAATCGCAGGGACCTGATTAGGTGTACCCTAGAACTCTGTGGGAAGCTAGGGAAGTGATTGCTGGGCTCCTTGCTAAGATATTTGTATCATTGATAGCCACAGTTGAGGTGCCAGAAGACTGGAGGTTGGTTAACATGGTGCCACTATTTAAGAAAGCTGGTAAGGAATAGCAGGGAACTATAGACCGGTGAATCTGTTGTGGGCCATGTTCTGCAGCAGAGCGGACTGCGCGGGCCGAAGCGACGTTAGTGGATCAGACGTGGGTTGGAGCGATTCCGGAGGGGGCCAAGTCCCCAGAGCAACAGAGGAGCCGTGTACCCAGGGCATCTGTTGGGCCGAGTCTCGGAGCGATGGGTGGCCTAGAGAGTTCTTCGGTGGGAGGCGGCAGCTAAGTCGGTCAGTCGGCCACAGGGCTCTCGTTTTCCATGTGGAGTAGGCCCCCAACCAATGGCATGGCACAGACTACTGTAGTCCAGAGCAGGGGACACTCAGCAGCGTAGCGTGGGTTGGAAAGCCCGGAGTGGAACTCTGGCAGTGGTATAGCAGCGAAGAAGGAAAGTTGGGCTCTCTTTAAGTTAAATTTCTTTCTTTACTTTAATCTGTGAATGGCGTTTATGTACAAGCGACGGTACACACTTTTCTTTGCAGTTTATTTTGAATGTACGTAACGATAAAGAATGTATTTAGAAAGGCAAGGACTAATTAGGGATAGTCAACATAGTTTTGAATGTGGAAATCGTGTCGCATAAGTTGAGTTTCGTTGAAGAAATAACGAAGAGGATTGAAGAGTGCAGAGCAGTGGATGTGATCCATATGCAAGGTTTTCGACAAGGTTCCTTGTGGTAGACTGGTTAGCAAGGTTAGATCACATGGAATACAGGGAGAACTAGCCATTTGGATACAAAACTGGATCGAAGGTAGAAGATAGAGTGGTGGTAGAGGATTGCTTTTCGGACTGGAGGCCTGTCACCAGCAGTGTGCTGCAAGGATCGGTGCTGGGTCCACTGCTTTTTGTCATTTTATATAAATGATTTGGATGTGAATATAGGAGGTATGGTTAGTAAGTTTGCAGATGACACCAAAACTCGAGGTGTAGCGGACAGTGAAGAAGGCACCTCGGAGTACAACGGGATCTTGATTAGGTGGGTGAATGGGCTGAGGAGTGGCAGATGGAGTTTAACTTAGATGAATGTGAGGTGCTGCATTTTGGAAAGGCAAATCAGGGCAGGACTTCTACACTTAATGGTCAGGTCCTGGGGAGTGTTGCTGAACAAAAAGAACTTGGAGTACTGGTTTATAGTTCTTTGAATGTGGAGTCACAGGTGGATAGTATAATGAAGAAGGCAGGAACAAATTACTGCAGATGGTGAAATCTACTGAAAACAACAAATGCTGGAGATCACAGCGGGTAAAACAGCATCCATAGGGAGAGAACAAACTAATGTTTGGGGTCTCAATGACTCTTCATCAGAGCTGAAGTGAAGTGTGCAGGCGACAGCATTTATGCAATAGTTTGGGGATGGTGTGTAGAGGTAGTGGGTGTAGGGTGTTGTTGGAGAAAAGATGCTGATAGTTCAGATTAAGTGTCGGAATGTGAGAATGTCAGAACAATGGTGTCTCCCCTGCCAGATTTGAAAGGACAGACAGTCCCCACTGGGATTGGGGGAAGGTTGGGAGGAGGGAGGGAAGGGAAAGAGAGAACATGATAACAAGCTAAACGAAAGAGAAGAAATAGGAGCTGGTTCACAATTTGAAGGTGTTGAACTGAATATTAGTCCAGAAGGCTGTAAAATGCCTAGACTGAAAATGAGATGTTGTTCCTCCAGTTTGCACTATGACTTGCTGGAACACTGCAGCATGCACTTTACAGTCTTCTGAACTTAATGTTGAGTTCACCTCCTTTTAAATTGTGAACTGGCTCCTATTGCCTCCCTTTCTTTTTAGCTTGTTATTGTGTTCTCTCCCCTTCCCCAATGCCAGTGGGGACTGTCTGTCCTTTCAAGTCTGGCAGGAGACACACCATTAAAAAACGAAAGAACTGTGGATGCTGTAAATCGGGAACAAAAACAAAGTTGCTGGAAAAGCTCAGCAGGTCTGGCAGCATCTGTGAAGGAAAAGAAGAGTTAACGTTTCTGGTCCGGTGACCCTTCCTCAGAACTGAGACACACCATTGTTCTGCCAATCTCACATTAATACAATCACTTAATCTGAAAGTCAGCATCATTTCTCCATTAGCATTCTACACCCACTAACCCCACCTCCCCAAACTATAGCATAAATGCTGTCCCTTCCACACTTCACTTCAGCTCTGACGAAGAGTTATCAAAACTCAAAACGTTAGCTTGCTGTCTCTCTGGGAATGCTGTCTGACCTGCTGTGATCTCCAGCCCTTGTGTTCAAAGTGAAGAAGGCGTTTTGGTATGCATGCCTTTATTGGTCAGTGCATTGAGTATAGGGGCTGGGAAGTCATGATGTAGCTGTACAAGACATTGGTTCGGCCACTTTTGGAATACTGCGTGCAATTCTGGTCACCCTGCTATAGGAAGGATATTGTGAAACTTGAAAGGGTTCAGAAAAGTTTTATAAGAATGTTGCCAGGGTTGGAGGATTTGAGCTATAGGGAGAGACTGAATAGTCTGGGCTATTTACCCTGGAGCATTGAAGGCTGAGGTTTATAAAATCATGAGGAGCTTGGATAGGGTAAAATTGGCAAGTCTTTTCCCTGAGGTGGGGGAATCCAAAACTAGATGGCATATGTTTAAGGTGAGAGGGGAAAGATTTAAACGGGACCGAAGATGCAACTTTTTCATGCAGAGGGTGGTGCGTGTATGGAATGAGCTGCCAGAAGAAGTGGTGGAAGCTAGTACAATTACAACATTTAAAAGGCATCTGGATGGGTATATGAATAGGAAGGGTTTAGAGATATATGGGTAAATGCTGGCAAATGGGACTAGATTAATTTAGGATATCTGGTCAGCATGGATTATTAGGACCGAAGGGTCTGTTTCTGTGCTGTACAGCTCTATGACTCTACGAAAGCCGTAAGAAGTAAGACTAATTCAGCCCCTTGGATTTGTTCTGTCATTCAATAAGATCATGACTATTCTGATTATGGCCTTAGTTCCAATTATTTACTTGCCTAAACTTCTCTTTCACTTCTTCCCCCGCACCCCCCCGCCACCCCATTTAAAAAAAACTCCCTTACCGACCAAAAATCTGTCTAGCTTGGCCTTGAATATCTTCAGTAAGCCATTTTCTACTACTTTCTGGGAAGAGAATTACAAAGATCAGTGATACCAAGCTGTAGAGCTGGATGAACACAGCAGGCCAAGCAGCATCAGAGGAGCAGGAAGGCTGACGTTTTGGGCCTAGACCCTTCATCAGAAAGATCAGTGACCTGACCTGATCTTAAATGGGAAACTCTTATTTTGAAACTGTACCCCAGCTCTAGACTTCTCCGTGAGGGAAGATATTCTTTGTTTCTACGCTGTCAAACTCCTTCATATTCTTGAATTTCAATCATCTCTCATTCTTTTCAAGGAAGACGAACTTGATCGGACACTAAGGGTAGTGTCTAACTGTAGCGTGGATAAAGGGGAGCCAGTTTAAATTCCCAAAACGTGTTTGATAAGATTATCTCATCAAAGGTAAAACTAATTGGTGTAGGGGGAAACATAGTATCATGCAAAGAAGTGTGAATTGGTTGCTGAATACGAAATCGTCGTGATAATTGGGTTATTTTCAGGTTAGCAAGTTGTAAGCATGGAGTGCTATAGGAATCTGTATTGGGACCTCAACTATTTACAGGCTCTATAAATGACATGTATAAAGGGGCCGACTGTTGCACCGCTTCTGGCCCAACGATAGGTCACTACCAAATTTATGGTTGCTAAATTTGCTGATGTAAGATAATTTGTTGATTGGCTAAACGATTCCAAAACAACGGACTTGTTTCTACTATGCCATTGCTGAGTAGCTCCCAGGTATTTAGAGTAAACTAAAGAGAATGGAATTTAGGGGAGTGGTGGCAAAGTGGATTAAAAATTGGTTACGTGAGAAATAGTAAGAGTGAAGGAACGTTTGTCACAGTGCAAAGTGGATGGTGCTGCCCCAGTGTTCAGTGTTGGAGTCTCTGCTGTTCACTGTCAATCAGTTAAATATTGGACTCCAGGAAGTATTGTCAAAACTTGCAAATGCTCTCAAAGTAAGAGGTATAATTAATTCTTAGAACAAATGATGCCACAAAAGATTGCTGATAAAGTATGAGAATGGATTAAAAAGTGGCAGATGGAATACAATAATTGAGATGGTATTTTAAATTATTTCTATGCAGTGAATTTTATATTAAGAGCAGGGTAATTGGGGCTACAGTTCACAGCACCTCCTGTTAATCAGACTAGTAAAATCTTAATTTCCTTCCTATTTTGATGCTAAATAGTTCTGGCCCGCTTACACTTAACTCGTGCGAGTTCCGGTGGACTTCAATCCATGCTTGTATTGATACTGAGATAGTCACCAATGTATGAACTTTATAACCTATCCCATTGTATGTATTGAAGCCCAAAAGTGGTTGGGATTGTAAGGAAATTTGTGTGAAAGGGAAGAAATTTCTGGCCAGGCTTGTTGCTGAAGACACCACCAAATCCCAAAGAGCAAGTTGATGGTGAGAAAGCAGCTCTGTGAGCAAGAAATTGTTTGTGACTTTTGATAGTGTAGCAGTATAAAAAGTTAAAACCATAATTTTAAGAAACTTGCAAATTATAAACAAATAAAGTAAAAAGAATGAAATTGCTTGAGAAACTCAGGTAGTCTAGCAGCATCAGTGGGAGACAAAGCATAGTTAATATTTTGGGTTCAGTGACCCTTCACAGAAGAAGGACCCTCTCTATTAACTCTGCTTTCTCTCAACAGATGCTGCCTGACCACCTGAGTTTCTCCAGCAATATGTTTTGTTTCAGATTTCCAGCGTCTACAACTGTTTTTCAAAAAGTAATTTATCTTTACCACAGCTTTAAGTATTCTGGGAAGCTTGAAACAGGAACTTTTCAAGTTTATATTCATTCCCTTTTAAAATTAAGATTATTAAAACTAAATGAAAAGAACAGATCGCCAATAAAATGTAAGTTGTGATCCGATTCAGTGAAGAACATAAGTTTTAATTTATCATGTAATCTTCAATGGCTGTTACTATTGTGTCATGCATATAAAAGGTGTGCAAGAAGTTGTGCATTTGCGAATGTGATCGACCCAAGAACTATGTACGTGCGCTGGCATAACCTAATGGGATGTTGCTGGGTGTAAATTTACCTAAAGATGCAGTTGCACGGTCTGAGGACATTGTACCTTTATAAATTCTGGTTTGCTTTTGAAAATCGGGGAGTACTCTTGTGGAACTGCCTTTTGAGACATTAAAGGCATTTATAACGGATCTGAGGAAACGCGAGTACTTGTTGGCCAATCTGATGATTGTATTGACATTCAGCTTGTGGGTGGTGGGGCTGGGAAGGAACACTGGGCAGGCGCGGTGCTCCTTGCCGGCCGCCGGCCCTGGTCTGTTACTGGGCAGGCACAATTTTCTTCGGCGTTTCTACCCCTGCCGTTGTCAGGGTCGTGCCTGGTTTCCATGGGGACCGCGCTGGCGGCGTCAGCGCTCACCATGGAGCTGGCAACAGGGCAGTGTCGACTCTGCCAATTGGGTGAATGAACAGGATGTCTGAGTACGGGACGCTCTGATTGGTCCGGGTAGTTGGCTGCCAGTGCCTAAGGCTGGTGAAAAGTAAACGGAGCTGCTTGGTTTGGAGAGGGAGAGAGTCTCTGCGAGCCATAGGCAACACCATGAGAATCCGGTAAGTGAGAGAGGGGCCGAGTGTCAGTCAGGCCCGAGGCATCATCAGCCTCTCCTCTCAGTAACAAACACTGCTCCCCAGCCAATGACAATAACTACAACCTGAACCCAGAATAACCTACAGGCTCCAGTTATCAGGACAGGCCGCAGCTCTTCCCTCGTGAACGTTTCATTTCTCCATCAATTGTCTCATTTCCTCCCAGCTCTATTCCAGGCTCTCTTTCACAGAATGTCACCATCACCAAGCTCTCACACACAAGTTGTACTTCGTGCCTCTCAACTGAGTAATTTGGTTCATTCCCCGCCTCTCACTAATGACCCCAGAACTCAACACCCCCACCAAAACCTTTCTGCTCCTTCTACAAAATCTCAGGGTGGCTAAGTGAGAGGCTCATGCATACTGTTGCGGGATTAAGATTCAGTGTGGAGTTGAAATTATGACAAACATAGATATAAATACAAGATAAGCAGATTGACAAGGCAGCCTAAAAGTATGGAGATAGCAGGAAAGAAGAGTTGAGGCCACAATTAGAATAACCAGATTTTATCAGATGGGTGAGACGGACCAAGGAGCCAACTCCTGTTTGTGCTTGTATGTCATGAAGCATAGTTCCTACTCTCCAGCTGAAAGGTTTTGGGATGCAGAAACTGGGGGATCTCCCACATCATCCCACTGGCTGCTCCACAGTAACTTAGTGCTAATTTCACCAGGTGAATGCCCCATCTTAGCTTCTTGTCACTTGGATGGGTGGCAGTTCTGTAATCCAAGCAATACCAGCTGGGGTAAGTGTCCATGGTTGGTACTGCAGGTCATACCCTCACCCCACCCCTCATGCTTAGGAGACCAGGGAAGCCTGGGAACTTGACAATGGGATGGGGGTCTGTTCGAGATGTCCAGGGATATGTTTGGGGATAACCAGCTGAAGGATTGCCTCCAATGGCCCTAGGCAACCCATAAAGGAGACCTTACTCCTTTATCTGTACCAACCTGAACAGCTAAAGCCACGAGGCTTCCTACAATGCCTGAGGCACATGCAGATGTAGATAAGTTACTGGTGGGATGGGATCAAGTCCTTAAGTGGCCATTAATTGGCTACTTAAGGGCCACATTAAGCCCCAGGAGGCATGGTCTTCCCAATGTTTACTTTGTTACCTGTAAAATTTCAGTTGGGTCAGAGGTGGAGTGGAGGTGAAGTTGGCAGAAAGGCTATCTACTTGATTTTATGTGCCCCTGCCCACATTCAAGCACACCTATAATATCCAGCTAAACAGTTAGGACCATTATGTAGTTTGTCAATTCTAGTTGTATAATTTCAGTAGCTCCATCAGATCAACATGCATTTATATAATGGTCTTAATGTATATTTGAAGCAGATTTAGGAAAATCAAAGAGCAATCAGGTGAAAATATTTAGCTGAAGGAGTGATAGTTTCAGGGTGGGTGTGTGGGAAAAGGAGTTGACCATTTAGAATTTTGAGGGTCTGCTGTTCAATGAAACGTACTGATACGTGTCCTAACACCGTATTTGAGAAGGGATGGATGTAAAGATTGGCCAGGGAAATTGTAACCGAGCTATTGCAGGCTTTTAAGGTGGAGATGCTTCAACTAACAGTCACACATATTCCCGTAAAGTGGAATATTGGGATATCCAAAGTTGGAAGTACTTGTATGTGTAAGAAGTAGAGGCTGAAATAAAGAGACTTATAATGTATCAGGTACATAATGCAGTAGAAAACTACATGTGCACATTTTTAAAAAAACGTATTCAAGACAGACAAAAAAGTGAGAAGAAAATAAATTAACTTAAAAGGAACCCCAAACAATTTGTTATCCACATAAATGGAAGATGGTAGCTAAAAGAGTGATGGGACCAATTTAGAAACAAAAAAAGGAAATCTTCTGCGGATGCTGAGGGCATGACTGAATGAGTACTGTGCATTCTCCTTCACACCAGAAGAGCATAATGTTAACATTGTAGAAGAGGAGAAGTACAGATATTCAACAAGTTAAACACATAGAAAAGATGTTTTATGGAATATATCATAGTTGCTTCCGTGGAGATAAAAGACGCTCTGACCGCAGTCATCTAATCCTCCTTGGAAATGAAAGTTATGCCAGAGGACTGGAGGATTGAAAATGTTATACCCCTATCAAAAATAGTGAGTGGGATAAACTCAATCATCGCAATCCCAATCGGTCTAACATCAGTGATGGAAAAATTACTGCAATCTATTTTCAAAGATGAAGTGGGAAAACATTGGCTAATATAGGGCAATGAGTATAGATTTGTTAGGCAAATGTGGCACTTTTACAAGTGAAGTGATGAACTTTGCCAGAAACAACATCCAGTATAATCTAAAGGGCACCATTCTGAGTTGTTGCAAGAGCAGAGACACTTAGGTGTGCATATTTACAATTCTTTGAAGACAGCAAGTTGATTCTCTTATGCTTTTAAGGTGAATACTCAGCTTTATAAACAAGGGCAAACTTCAAAATATCTGGTTAGGCCTCAACTGAAGCATTATGCACAATTCAATGCATAATAATTTAGGAAGGATGTTAAGACCCTGCAAAAGTGTTGAGATCACAGATGCTCAGAATATAATAAAAAAGAGTGGAAGCAAACAGGTAGTTCCTCTGAGCTGACTGATGGAGGAGAGGCACAGGAAAAGGATGATGTTGGTTGTCTTACAGTCATAGAGCTGTACAGCATGGAACCAGTCCCTTTCATCCAACTCGTCAATGCCAACCAGATATCCTCAATTAATCTAGTCCTATTTGCCAATATTTGGCCCATATCCCTGTAAATCTTTCCTATTTATATACCCATCCAGATACCTTTTAAATGCTACAATTATACCAGCGTCCACCGCTTCCTCTGGCAGCTCATTCCATACACACATCACCGTCTGCGTGAAAAAGGTGCCCCTTAAGTCCCTTTTAAATCCTTCCCTTCTTACCTTAAACCTATACCCTTTAATTTTGGTCCCCGTCACCCTGGGGAAAAGATCTTGGCTACTCACCAATCCATGCCCCTCACGACCTTATAAACCACTATTAAGGTCACCCCTCAGCTTCTGACGCTCCAGGGAAAATAGCCCCAACCCGTTCAGCTTCTCCCTACAGCTGAAACCCTCCAACCCTGTTAACATCCTTGTAAGACTTTTCTGAACCCTTTCAAGTTTCACAACATCCTTCCTATAGCAGGGAGACCAGTATTCCAAAAGTGGCCTAACCAATGTCCTGTACAGCTGCAACATGACTTCCCAGCTCCTACACTCAATGCACTGACCAATAAAGACAAGCATTCCAAACGCCTTCTTCGCTATCCTGTTTACTTGGGACTCCACTTTCAAGGAACTATGAATCCGCACCCAAGGTCTCTTTGTTCAGCAACGCTCCACAGGACCTTACGATTAAGTGTATGAATCCTGCCCTGATTGGTCTTTCCAAAATGCAGCACCTGACATTTATCTAAATGAAACTCCATCCGCCACTCCTCAGCCCTTTGGCCCATCTGATCAAGGTCCTGTTGTGCTCTGAGGTAATCTTCTTCACTGTCCACTACATCTCCAATTTTGGTGTCATCTGCAAACCTACTAACCATATGTTCACACCAAATCATTTATATAAATGATGAAAAGCTTGTGAAAGACTGCTGAAGACTTGAGGAGGAAGAGAAAAGTTATCCTGAATCAAATATAATTGTGATAACACAGCGTGGAGCTGGAGGAACACAGCGGGCCAGACAGCAACAGAGGAGCAGGAAAGTAAACATTTCCGGTTGGGACCCTTCTTCAGAAATGGGGGAGGGGGAAGGGAGCTCTGAAATAAATCGAGAGAGGAGGGGTGGAGCTGGGGATGGTAGGTGGGATGGTGATAGGTGAGTGCAGCTAGGCATTCGTGGGGATTGGTCAGTGAGGTGGGAGGACGGATAAGTGGGAGAGAAGATGGACAGGTTGTGTTGGGTCAAAGAGGCGGGGATGAGAGGGAGGGTTGGTTGTGGGATGAGGCCGAGGGTGATTGTGTGCTGCTGAGTATATTACAAAGGGAAGAGCAAAAACTGTTCAGATTTTTGAAACCTTTCTGTAATCTCTAAGCCCCTTTTATCTCATTGCAAAACTAATTTTTTTTTATTCCATACTTTTCTACGAAATCTCTTCTACAGCTTCTCCAAGGTCCCAAAATGCAATGCCTAGAATTATACACTAAAATGAGGCTGAGGCATTTTGGTGTTTTAGACAGGTTCTGATGAATCAATCCAAAAACCTTTAATGCTTTTTAGCAAACATTACATGTCATCCTGCTACTTCCATGGATTGTTCTACCTTCACCCACAGGACTTTTCTGTATCCTTGTTTAAAATTGGACCATTTAACTCATTTCACCTTGCCTCATTCTTCCTATCAAAGTATGCAACTTCACATTGCTTGGCATTAAATTTCATCTGTCTTGTGTCTGATGTCTGAATAACTTCTTTTGTTGTTTAGCTTTGTTGCTATGCAAAATAAATGCTCTTGAGACAAAACAGGTTAATGGTATTATGAATAACCCCTTTTATAGAAAGCTAATATGTTAACAATGACTTTGGAAGTTATGTGAATAAAAGCTATTTATACTCTAGGAAAAATAATAGTTGCTATGTTTTTGGGATCAAGCAGATTTCAGTTCTGGAAATTTTTAGTTATAAGTATTCAGTCAATTACAGGTATATCGATTTTCTGGAATTTTGATGTTACTTCCATTTCAGGGAGAAATTTCATGCAACTTTATTGAGAAGATTTCCGTTTTTGGTTTATCACCTTCATCAGGTGAATGGTCTAAGTTGTTATACTAGTTATACAAACTAGTTTGTTATATGTTGACTTATACATGGATCATACAAAGTGGGTCAAAGAGTCTCATTTCTATCAATTCTTGTATTTCTATAGCCGCGCACAGATTACATTATATGCAATATTTTACAACAGCACTGTAGCTATTGAATAATGTGCAGTTGTA